GCAATAAAGTAGAACACTGCATTCTCATTTTCTCTTTTGATGAAATAACAGAACTGACCAACACCTCATTCTCTACTCCGCCACAGTTCACAACAATTCTACATATAACGCTCTTTTATTTATTTCTTCCAAGTACGTTCTACCATTCCTCCAATTTCATCTCCACAATGGCCCTGCCTGGAAAGTCGAGGTCCAAGAAAGCAGCTGGCCCCAAACCATTCAGTGAAATCTAACATTAAGCCAAGATTTAAACCTGGCCCTCCCTCATTTCATCCAATTCTAGTTTCTATGGCTGAAATTCTGCACACAGTTTTTAAGAGTGGTAGAACTTGTTTGAGCTGACACGTATAGGATTACGGTGTGACCTTCTTAAGCCCCATTCCTATATTCTTTGAGCGGAGGGCACTTTGGGGCAAGAATGTGGATCAATCAATAACCACAAGCAACTGATAAAGAGATGGGCAGTTTGGAATTTCAGGCATGTAGAAAACCAATTAACATTTACTGATATCCAAGGAAAGGGATCTGACTATACAAATGTTTACATTGTAGGAACACGTTCATCTTTAAGGTACCCCAAGATGTTTTGGTTGGATTTGAAATTCCTAAATTGACATAGAAGAGAGCAGTTTTGCTCTTTGGCTCCTTTCAAAGGAGGAACCAAGTCAGGAAGTTTCTAACAGCCAGACTTTTTCTGAAATGGTTAGCAATTACTTTTGGAGAAGTCAAGAGATAAAGTCACAGTCTGAAATCAGCTTAATCCCACGCCATAAAGCCTAGTTTCCTATCTGGGGTGAGAAAGGAGCAGACAGCTAATCTCAAACCTAGACCAGTTTGTTTACTTGCTTTATTTTTACAGGTATTATTTGATAAGTTAAAAGTAATAGAAACAGAAAACAATACCACAATGGTAATCCAAGGAAAAAAAGAAAAAAAACAACAATGATAAACTGAGAAAAGAGAAAGAACTGAGAAGGAAAGGGGGGAAAGGAAAGGCCGCTTAGCAAGAATTAATATTTAAGGCTTTGGTGATATACTAAATCTGTGATCTAGATTTCATAACACGTTAAAAGCTGAGTTTTCTCTGTACACATTGGGGCGGGGGGGTGATAAATCCAACAAGCCCAAAAGTGGTGAAGCCTGCAACGCTGCTTTTATCATTTTGGCAAAAGCCTTTGATCCTGCAGACGCCTCTGTACAGACTAATATGTTTAATTGGGACCTGTTACACGGTTTCTTCACTTGCTGGCACAGAGAAGGGCTGCAAAATTCTCACTCAGTTTATTAAGGAACCGGGATCATATTCTTTTTCCCCTTATGCAGAAAAGTTATAAAACAGAAGGAAGGTGTGATAACAAGAGCTAAAGTAATGGGTGTGTAGATGACAAATTCCAGCTGTAACTCTCAGGACACTGACGAGGGAGTATCCTCCTCTCCCTTCTGCACAATCTATCACTGAACCAACCACAAAACTCCTGATCAGCCCAAAATGATATTATAGCACAACTGGCGAAGAACACATGACCCGTCACCCGCTAGGCCAAGAACAAACCACATCGCGGCTTAAGGCGGCCCATCAACCCAGCCTCAGAAAACATTGCAAAAGAGGAAAACGGGCAGCGAACAAGATTTTAAAAACAGCACCCAAGTCATGCATTTGAGATGGGAGCCCGTATAAATGGAAATAAACGAGCACATAAGCAAAATGTTGCATACTGTCAGATATTTCACGGCGCTCAAATAACTGCTACAAAAAGCTTCGGGAATATTCAGCCTATTGAATAAGTACGATTGTTGCTCACAGCTCCCCCACCCACCCGCCAGTAGATGCTAACCAGTCCAGCCTTCCACAATCAAACTTTTATTTTTAACACGATAGACACTATGCAGCTCTAGCAATTTAAGGGCCACGACAAAAACTGAGCCAGCGTTTTGATTTTCTGTGAAGCTCACAATGGGGGGAGTGATCCACAAAGGGGTTGGGAAGGGGAGGGAGACAGAAGTATTTCAGGTTCATAAATACCGTCTCCCAGTGATGAAGAATGCCAAAAGAATACACTTGAAATATATAAAATCAAGTCTTTCAGGCAGCATCTCATGTTATGGTTACAGAGTATAACAGAGCACTATAGCAGTGTTTCTCAACGTTGGCCACTTTGCTGGCTGGGGAATTCTGGGAGTTGAAGTCCACCCATCTTAAAGAGGCCAACGTTGAGAAACACTGCACTTTAGTATAGGTGGATGGATGGATTGCTACATAGAGATATCCCCGCCAGAAATAAGCTCCAAAGAAGCTGACTTGTCCAGCACAACTGACAAGTAACTGTAGGTCCCAAACCCATTCCTCATTCTCAGAATTGATCTGCTGCTTCACAGTCCAGCTGAGCAAGCAAGAGAAGGCGAACCCCCTTTGCCACCTGGAATTGTGAGTGGCATTTTAAATAATAAAAAAGATCCAGCATGATCCCTAAACTACACCAGAAAGGGATAAACACTGGAACGACCAACCCACAGAATTACTACCTTCAGCTGTCAATAACGTGGGGAAGGAGAGAGCAAGTTTATTTTATTTTTCAGCAAAAGGAACTAAGTTCCTAGTGTCCTGGCACAGTTCCAGAGTCCCCTTGGTTAAGACTTGGCTATGAAAGGAAGCAATGCCCGGTGTTAACTGGTCCCTAAGCCGCTCTTCTGAAACAGGTTTTTTATTCACGCATGGCTCAGGTGGGGCGGATTCTCTTCTGAACCCCAGCAAGCTACTCTGAACAGACTTTCCTTCTTTGCATCCATCACGTCAAGTAGAATATTGATTTATTTAGATGCTTCGGGGGCTCTGAAACTCACTTGTCTACTGCTGATTCACACACAAGATGATCCAGGGACAGAGATCATCAGAGATCATCTGAACATACGTTCCTCTCCATGGTTAATCATCTCTACCCAGGGAGTGGTACTGTTTTGACAATCCAGCAGCTAGGAACCCCCAATGAGGCTACGTTTGCAAGGAAACAGAAAAAGGGGGAAGAGGAGCAAAGAGTGAATTGCAATTAGACGGATCCAGAATGGGAACCCTTGGTTCCTACATCCTTTTTTTTTTTTTCTTCACAGCACCAACCCAAACTTCTTTGTTATCCACCATTCTGCCAGGAGGTCAAGATGTCTTCCATTAGTCTTGGTCCTGGCCAAGTCCCACACTGGCTCTCAGTAGCAAAATGCTAAGGACCTGCGTGCTTTGTCGGTTATTGCTTAAAGAATCATTTCCCATCCTTTAAAATGAAGATGGAGATAAATTAAATCTTCACCTCTCTTACAAAAGAGAACAAAAATGGGGGGGGGGGATTGTGGCTCAGCTGACTTGGAGACACATCCCCGGTCATGTTGAGGCTGAAAAAGAAAACAATTGCCCCAAATGATCCCAGAATTACATAATGATGATGATGATGGCTCAATAGTGGATAAAAATGCCAAATCCAGTCTAAACATCTGGCTGACTGGGCGACCAGCCATAACAACAGTCCACCCCTTTTATAACCAAAAGAAAGTAGAAATTCTTCTTTTACTATCTGAGATTTCTTCAGAACTTATAATCACTGAGTGCTTCTGCCATTCCTCCCTTCCTTACTATCCTCTTATCTTTGCCGCCGTTTCTCCTCCCTTCTTAGGAAAACACCGTTTTGCTTTCATTTTATTCCGCTCAGCAGTTGAATTCCTGCCTTTGTTCAGACTGCAATTCTGTATAATTGGATAGTCACAGAACCACAGCCAGAAAGACTCAGAAGAATCATTATGCTTGCAATCCCATATCCACCCTCCTTGGATGGCAGGGAGGTCAAAAAAGGCAACATGGCCACAACCATGCAAACTTTTTTTATCTGCTTCAATCGCACGGCTGTGGCTGTCAGACCGACTTCTTTGACCCCATCCTTGCAAACATCTCTGTCCGTGGGACTTCATTCAACTGCACCATTATCGCAAGACTTTCCCATCTATCATGTATTTCTTCTTTCCCCCCAGCCTACCCCACAGGGTTGTTCTGGGGAAAAAGAGAAGGGAGTGCTCTGTATACCGCCCTGGCCTCTTGAATGAAATACAGGATATAAATCTAATAACTGAATATTCCAAAAGGTGTAATTTCCCATATCATCAAAAAGCAGAACACCACCAAACCACCAGCCCAGAAGCCACAATACCTAACCTTTCTCTGAAAGTCCAAACATGGTTTTCTGAGCTATTTACATGCACATCTCCAAAAAGACACTTTTGAAACCAAGCATGCGTTTAAGCCAATACAGAAACAAGATTTTTTTAAACACTGCTATTTCCAACCATTATTCAAATTCCGGATTTACTTTGTTTCTACTAGCTGGTCTTTAAACTTGCATAAACTCAAATCCTAATTTCATTATATTAGTTGAGATTTGTGCATGTTATATTGCAAACTGATGCAGGAAGAGGGAATTCTACGAGAAGGTGGTTAAGAAATGTTAAACAATTACAATCTCTCACTCACACACACGTCTTGCTCTCACAACGCTATACCTCCTCTTCAAAAACAACACAATTCCATTATAAAGATACCACCCTTGTTCTAGAAATCTGGAACCACATCCAGAAATGGGTATTTTTCTTTATATTTGTTTGTTTTGCAGGCTTCTGGCCTTAATGACGTTATCTCTCTCTATTTCATCTAGAAATTAATCTTAGTAGGAACAAATGCAACTTATTGCAGGATTTCTATACACACGTTCAGCACTGTGTGTGAAACGTTAATGATTTTTTGCTTTATTACAATGCTTTTAATCCAATTTACGGTCTTTAGGAGGTATGTCATTCAGAGTCAACTGGAATTAGACTAGGAAGGCAGCAAAAAATAAATTAATTAATTAAACAAATACACAAAGCAAGGCAATTCACTTTGAGGTCTATCTATCTCACTCACAACTGCTTTCTGCTTCAGCCAAAGGAATACTGGACTTTTGACCAGAAGAGAGAACGCCTTTAAAGCGACTAACGAGATATTTAGCCAAGCAGGGCTGTGAGAGAGCTTGCAAAAAAGTTGCTTGGGTGAATTCTCGTTCTCACGCTCTCCGGCCCCAAATTATCGGAACTTTCTTATCGCCCAGCTGAGTTTGCCAAAGGTGAGACGGACGGAGGACGATCGTGCTTGGGAATATGTTTAAATCGGAGCCACCCCCACGGTTCGAGCGGGGCGGGCCGGGGC